TTCTGGGTCCCCTGTTGAATACCACATTATGTATACCTAGCATGTCTCTTTAGGCTTTTCTTTTTTTTTTTTTTTTTAATTTTTTTTTTTTGTGTGTGTGTGTGTGTGTGTGTGTGTGTGTGTGTGTGTGTCCAGCTCAGCCCACCAGGGGGCGGGGCTGGCTGGCATGTGGTGCTGGGGGATCGAACCGTGGTCCCTGTGTGCTTTGCTAAGCTTGTTCCAAGTAGGTGCTTTAGACCACTGAGCCATCTCACCAGCCCCTCTTTAGGCTTTTCTTGGCTGAAGAGCATTGTGAAAGTATTTTCTAAGATTCTCTTCCATTGGCATTTTGTCTGATGCTTTCTCTTATGAGACTGAAAAATGGGTTGAGGACAAAAAAAGAGAGGGTTGGAGAAGGAGGAAGACGGCCTTCCCCAGTGCATCCTGTCAAGGGTCTGCAGTGTCGGTGCAGATCTTGTCAAGCTGTGAGCGATGGCCTCGTCACCTAGCCAGGACAGTACTGTTCCTATTCTCCCTGGTAAAGTTGCCCTCTGCGCCTTTCCATGTCCTTTGGGACAAGGTCACTATGCGCAGTTATGCCCCGTGTCTCCTTCAGGACTGTGTATCTTCATAAATTAGTTGGAATTCTTCTGTACTGGGCATTTGTCTCTTCTCTCCTCCCATTTATTTGCTTAGTCATTTGTTTTAGTGATTTGGATGTTGTGACTACAGTTTTATAAAATTACTGAACCACCATGAACCATGTCTGAACCTCTCCATTACTGACAGAACAGAGGAAGAAAGTACCCAGAGGAGGGAGTCTCAGAGGTCTTGGGAAGGCCTTACCTGCTCAGTCGAATGGAATTGGGCCTCTGCTGTGTCAGTAGAACCACAGGCTCACCTCGGAATGCCAGGAGAGACATCTCAGCTAAGAAACTTCATTGTAAGAGGGGAGAAGCTGAGACTGATGAGGAACATGCGGCCAGAGCCTCCAGGTTTTCCTCTTTGCTTCCCTAGACTTAAGTGGAAGGAAGGAAGGAAGGAAGGAAGGAAGGAAGGAAGGAAGGAAGGCAGGCAGGCAGGCAGGCAGGCAGGCAGGCAGGCAGGCAGGCAGGCAGTCTGGCTTGACAGGATTTAAGTGATTTCTGTGACTTTTGAGGGCGTAGATGTGATGGCTGTCCCTTGGAGCACTGGTTGTCTTTTCTGTGAGCTTCTCAGAGCCAGCCCTGTCCAGGCCTCTGATGATTTTGTAGTTAAGCCTATCCTTATGGTTTTGTTTTTCTTGCTTGGCGTGCGCACACATATCTGTGTGTGTGTGTGTGTGTGTGTGTGTGTGTGTGTGTGTGTGTATAACCAAAACCTATTTTAAAAACAAGGGAAGCAAGCCCAGGACACAGAAGAGCAAGCCACTGAACCTCTCCAAGGCCAAGAAGACGTTTGTCAAACATTCCAGGAGGCGCGCCGACTCCCTGGCCTCCCTCTATGTCTGCAGCTCCTGGATGGGGGAAGCTGCCAGAGCCCTTCCTCCACAAGCTATCCCTCTCTGTGGCCCGGTGCAGAAGGCAGAAGCTCTCAAGCAAAGTCTTTATCTAGTTTTATGTTTGTTTCCTATATAGAGGTTATGCACTGGCTTAGAACTGAATCCAGGATGCTCCTGGCCCTGAACTTGTTTCACTCTTAGTGCTTTGTGGAAGTGACAGGGTGTGTTTCCAGGAATGGGTCAGAGGCCTTGTCCGTGTGGGTTGTTTAGGCCTCATAGGCCATAGGGTTGGGCCCAGCCCACCTTGTTCTCTCTTTGGCCACTTGCTTTGCCAAGGACAGTTATTGGACCACAGGATCTTTGTATCCAGACGCTGTATGCTTTGCTTTTCTTCTTTTCTTTTCTTTTTCAAACATTACCAATCAAGAGTATGTGGGTTTTTTTTTTTTTTTTTTTTTTTTTTTTTTTTTTTTTTTTTTGGCAGAACCGGGGATTGAACTCAGACCTTTGCGCTTGCCAGGCAAACACTTATTCTACTGAGCCATCTCCCCGGCCCCAAGAGTATGGTTTTATCACTTTCCAAACACAGAAGAAAAAATCAGTTTTAAAAAATGGAGCTGCAAAAGATCAGTGGGATCTAAATTTAAATTCTGATGGGAGTTTCATGATTTCTGTGACTTTTGAGGGCCATGGTTTTGTTGGACACGTTGAGGGGGAGGACAGTCCAGCTTTAGTTTTGCCTCCATGAAGATGTCTTCTGTTTGGGTTCCTCCTCTCTGGAGACTGGAATAGCCCTGGCACTGACAAGGTCTTCTCAGATCTGACCACACTGCTTATATGTGGCAGTGGCCTGGGATAACTACTTTTAGATACTGTGGGGATATTTCTCCTCTCCTCTCCTCTCCTCTCCTCTCCTCTCC